CCTGGCCGAGACTAATTTTTTTTATTTCATTTTTTTTTAAAGACAGAGTTTCTCTGTGTAGCCCTGGCTGTCCTGGAACTTGATCTGTACACCAGCCTGGCCTTGAACTCACAGATCCACCTGCCTCTGCCTCCCAAGTACTGGAATTAAAGACGTGCACCACTGCTGCCAGCGTGAGACTATTCATTTAATAATTCATTATGTATGTGTGAGCTCTCGTGTGTAATTGTAGGTGCACATACACTGCAGCACACATGGTGCCAGAGGACAGCTTGTGCAGGTCAGGTCTTTCCTTCTATCATGTGAGTCCCAGGGATCAAACTCAGGTCATCAGGCTTTTGACAAGCACTCTTAACCACTGGGCCATCTCGCAGGCTCGAGAATGTACCTTCATAAACCTCTTAGACGGAACTGGAGTGCCACTGCCTTTTAGAGCCTACACTGTTGTAGAGTGGAGATCAAGGGCTGAATTCCAGGACCTTTGTGGGCTAGGAGCTGTGTCTGTGTACCTGGATCCTGCATGCCTGGTTGGTTAGTGGCAGGAAGACAAGCTGTGTGTCATGTCATATGCCTGAAGATTTAGCTCTGAAATAATATATTTTGCAAATGCAACTTTGAAACTTTCCCCTTTACCTCATGAAAATACATTGTCATATTGAGCTTGAAACTTAGCAAGTTAGGATACGCCCAAGTTAGGATTTGTCCCAGTGCATACTACCACTGTGAATTTTATTATTATTAAAAAAATCTTTTACCATCATCTTGTTTTTGTTTTTGTTTTTTTCCAAGACAGGGTTTCTCCGTGTAGTTTTGGTGCCTGTTCTGGCTCTTGCTCTGTAGACCAGGCTGGTCTCGAACTCACAAAGATCCACCTGGCTCTGCCTCCCAAGTGCTGGGATTAAAGGCGTGTGCCACCACCACCTGGCACCATCATCTTGTTGACCAACTGTCAGTTTTGTTTTTAGATCTCCACCCCCACCCCTTTCTTTTTTAAAATGAAAGCCTTTCCCCAGAGAGTTAGCCCTGGGTCAGTTTACCCAGTTCTGTCCTTTGAGGGTAGAGTGGAAGGAGCATATGGTATGCTCTTCTTTTAGTGCCTATGCTCAGCTGGAAAGGAATTGTCTGTGTCCTGTACTCTGATGCAGGTGGAGGAATGTCTTTCTTCCTGGAGAGATATGCTGTGGTGGTAAAGGGAGGAACAGAGGTCTTTGCCTGTACTTAAAGTTGGTATAATGTGAGTGGTTAAATTGAGGAGCGTTAGGAAAACTATAAATTCAGCACTAAATGGTACTCTCTGCACACATTATAAGATAGGAGTCATGGAGATGCTTTCTGACTGACCTGTCCGGAACCTCAGCCTGTGGTTGTAGTTGTGCTAAGGACTACAGTCAGGCCACCTACAACACTTAACAACCACTGTACTGTTCCCATCATCTGTTAACACCCCGCTGCCTGTTTAGAGACAGGGTCTTACAATGTAACCCAGGCTAGCATTGAACTTGTCATCCTCCTGTCTCTACCTTTCAAGTGCTAAGATTATAGTCGTGAGCCACCATGTCTACCTCCATCTACTTCTAATCGTCCTAAATAATTTTTAGATTCATTTTATTTTATGCATGAGTGTTTGCCTGCATGTATGTATGTGTACCATGTGCATGCTGTGCCTGCAGAGGCCATTGGATCCCTTAGAACTGCAGTTACAGGCATTTGTGAGCAACTGTGTGAGTGTTGGGAACTAAACCCAGGTCATCTACAAAAGTCATAAATGCTCTTAACCACTGAGCCATCTCTCCAGCCCCCAGTCTTTCATGCGTTTTTGATCAGCAGCTGTACTAATTGAATGTGTCCTTTGTCAG